ATCTGACCACACTTTTTAAAGTTATAAGATAAAGGGACCAATTCTAATGTAGTTTACTCAAATTGTAACTAATCCTCTTATTACTAGTTAATTCAACATTTTTTGAGGCTTTATGCATCAGTAATAAACTACTATTAAGAACCGGGATTGCACGGTAGGTTAAAAAAGACAAAACAAGGGCTGGTAGGACATACAATACATAAATTGGATTTTTGACAAACCAAATGTTCTTACTAATGGCTTATTACTGATCTATAAAGCATGTCAAAGTGTCCTTAAGCAAGACACTGACCTCAAAATTGCTACAGTATGTATGTGGGGAAAATGTAAGTATATTTGGACAAAAACATCTGCCAGATGTAAAGAAATACTTACAGCTGATAAAGGCTCTGTAAAGAAAGCCTTAGATACAATACATTAGATTAGATTGATGACACTTCTTTCAGGGGTTGCAAGACTGACATGTTGATGAAATATCTGCATACTGTGATGTTACTGTCAAACTGCACTCTCCTCTTACATAAAAAGCCTGCTGGAAATTAAGTTACAAAAGAAGCCTCAATCAAATAAATAGAGACATGCTCACACCGCCATTGAAATGGAAATCTTTGCTGCAGATACTGCCGATTCACAGTCTCAGTATTTATCCGACACATGGTCTTAGTCATCTATAAACATATATTTGTATGAGTATGAAAAGCACTAGAAAAGGATATGTTTTCTAACCCGCGCGCTGCCGGTGGAGTAGGCCTGCTGTTGACTCTTAGTCTTGTAATTTCTAGCATATTAATTATCAGCTCCCCCTATCTTCTACACTCTGTAAATGTAGTCTTCTTTTCTCCTTTGTGCTTGTTTCTCTTCTTGCTTCCTCCTCCTCTCCCTGTTTTGCAGACACTCTAGCCAGAGGGCACAATCACACAACCAGAAAGCCAATCAGGAAGCTTATTAAACATGACACTCAGTGAGCACACTCAATGCAGGCGAAGGACATAGGCTCTGAGGTCTACGTGCCAATTTGGAAAATCAGATCATTCATAGCAGTCGCTGTGAACTCTCTCTCACTCCTTCTCTGTTGTTCCTCCTCTCTTTTGCTGTCTCTTCTTTCGCCTCTGTCACACATTATCTCCTCTAGTCAACATCTCTCTTTGGAGATACTTCTACTATACGCACCACTACTGCTGTTTGCACACCATCGCACACAGCTCTGTACAAAATAAACAGGGAAGAGACATTTGCCGTCTACGCATACACACGCACAAACACACACACACACACCACACTCCAGCAAGCTATTCATCACAATTTAGCCAGAGCATTAGACATTGAGGGACAATAACACCCTCTCTCGAATAACATCCAAAACACAAACAGCTACACACTTCCTCTTTCATGACACTCATTTTCCCCTCCATTTGTCAACACACTCCCACACTTTTTAATTCCCGCTAAGCTGTCTGTCATCTCTCTTTTTTCGCCTTAAAAACTAGGCTATGCCATTCAAGTGAATTTAAAAAGAAAGTCACTGAAACTGAAAAATGCCCAAGAACATTGTTTTCTCACTACAATCCTTGTATTATGTGACTAGATTATAAAATGTAGCTATAATCAGTTGAGTATTTAATCTGTTTATATATATAATGTGCTTTTTTTTGTATTTGATCTGAAGTTATACATTGCTGATTAGCTTTCTTTATTGGTCTTTTAGTGACTTGTGTGAGAGGTTACTGAGGTCAATTTTGTGGTGACAGTAATATTAGGGAAGGGAAAGAATGATGTCTTATGCAGGTAAATGCACTACTGAAAATAGGTATTCTCTACAAAAAGAAGCATTCCCTGTTGTTGTACTTTGTTTATTGCTTTATTGGACAAAAGTTCTCGCTGAGGAAACATCACTATGACCCTTTTCTCCCCATTTTCCTAACCTATGCATTGCGCGTGGTGAGTTTGCTACGTTACACAAACTCTCTTGGATTTTTTTTGTCTAATAAATAAACAAAATAAATGTCAATAAAGGAAGTAATCTCACACCTAAACTGAAAAATACAACCTTCTGTATTCATGTTTCTCTCTTTCATCGTATTAAGACTAATTCAATTGTCTTTTTAACTCATCGTATGACACACTTCATTCAAACTCGACAGAAACAAAATGAAACTCATCAAAACCATCTTGCTTTACTGTTCTACCAATGAGCAACTCTGATTTGATCAAAATAAATACTTTATTCACAGGGTAAGATGTACAAATATGCTAGCTTTCTCCACTGATCCAAGCTTATTAAGTGATATGAAATAGAATTTTAGTTTAATGAAATGACCATTAAAAGTTACTAATATTTGTTTTCCTGTTATTGTAACCACTCATTAATATAAAGTAGTATAAAATAGGGGATCATCTCTTAAAATGTCTACAAATAAATCTATTTTTTGTAGATTATGAGCACTGACAACTATACCACCATCTGGCTGTTTTCTACTCCTCTATGAGACATGCAAATTCAATTTTCTTGGGGCGAGATGAAGCTCAGTAAAGATTGTTTGTGTATTTGTCTGTCATCTTAACTTCACATAATCCCTCTCCAGTACCTTCCCCAACTTCTTTCTCATCAAGCCACTGATGGAGTGCTACAGGAAAAAGGGACTTCTTACGGTCTTGTCAAAAGCCTATTGAGAGGCGGTTAAAGGCCTGCTAGACTGGTGAGGATGAAAAAGAGAGATCTCCTCACAAGATTTAATTTCAAAGCCAGTGACTGGAATGCTGAAGGCAAATACTTGTTTTGTGTGCATAAAGTATTAAAGTGCACTAGCACCACCCATCGACAAGCTGTGTACTTGTAATGCTGAAGACATATAAACATCTACAGTATAACTATCATAACCGTATACAATTAACCATTGTGATAAAATCACTTCCAATATTGAAAATAGAAGTTCAATGCTATAAAAATGTGAAAAAATTCATCGTTAAGTATGCCAAAAAAAATACTAGTATAGTATGCAGGTAAAATGTAATGAAAAAGTAATATATACTATATATATATGTATAGTGAGGCATTCACAAATTTGATTGAAAGGTCATAGTATAGTATACCATTAAAAAAATCATAATACTAGCATATAAACCTATATTATGCCATAAATATATATATAAAAAAATGCCATTCTATAGTGTCAAAAACATCAAAAGTCATACTATAGTATGCCTTAATGAGGTGTAGCAGCAATCCTCTCTGTAAGGTAATCCACATCACCACTACTGTTACATTCTGTGTAAAGACAAGAGACCCGGTGCAACGATTAATCTTCAGAGGCATTCATTCACTTTATTGAAAAGGTTTTCACAACAAAAAAAATAAAGTTACAATATTCACTCTGTGCTCAAGTTGACAAACCAGTCAAAAAACTGCCTTGCTCCACACACTGATGTAGCTTAACTGATGACTGTGACGCAGTCAGGAGCATTTCAAGAAGTTTACTGTAAAGTTAGTAAACACATGTTATGGCTCTTACAAAAGTACTAAAATGTCTTAGTATAGTATGCAATACAAATATCAGCCGTAGTATAGTATGTAATTAGTTTGTTACAAACCTTGTTTATATGCTATCTTTATTATAGCTCTAACTGGTGTCACGTCTAAGTTGTGATTCTCACTTTCATTCAGCAGATGGAGCCACAACTCAGGGCAAACACGGTGGTGGAGCACAAACGCACGTTTGAGGCTGAAGGCATTCAGGTAATGGAACTACCACCCTGACAAGTTCTGAATGAATATTACTTACATGATTTCATACATTAGAATTCATTATAATGTACGTGGCCAATCCAATAATGAAAAAAAAAAAAACCCCGCAAAAAATTGGAAAACCCATAACCTAAAAAGCTGTAACCTAAATGTGGAATATCGGCTTTCAAGTTTAACAAAACCAACAGTTAGAGAAACATGAAAAACACCATATTTTATTTGAACAGGTATGATGCACACGCCGGAAAGGAAAACCAATGAAGCCATGATCACCTTCTTCCAGGTTAGTGGTGTGTAAGCAATTATAGTATTCCCATCGATAGACCACAGAATATATCAAGTCCAGTCTTGATTTTTTTAAAGTGTTGTAAAACATGTAGGCAGTGCAGAACACAAGTAGTTCATCTTGAGATCACTTCTTCTCCTCAGTGATGGGAGGTGTAGCACATCCAGCAGCTTCACAGAGGAGACCAGCATTCAATTAGACCAGACAGCCCCACACCTGGAAAACACAGAATAATACAATAATAAATCACTGCTCTCTATGGAAATGATGTGAAGTACATACTGGTATTATATTTAAAGCAATGCAAAGACAAGACACAGTTTGTAACCCTTATGAGTTATTGTCTTGCATAACAGGGCCTCCTTATGAGGTTGAGAAACAGCAGTTAAACTCGGTTAAAATCTACTTTTTAAGTGATTTTCTGGCCAATATGCGTTTGTTACCTTACCGATTTAGAAGCAGACTATTCAAGTAATCACACGTCACAATCAAATGTAGCAAAGACAAATGTCCCTTTACCATTCAAGCCAAATCGAGCTTCTTCTGAGTTTCTGACAGCTTGTCTTGCAGCCGCTTCTTCCTCCAGTCCAGAAACTTCCTCCTCATTCTGTTCGCCTGCCAGCCCGCCACAAAGCCGGCGGCGAAGGAGGCCACGACGGCGACTCGCAGCGTCCTGTCCGAGATTTCAGCCATGTTCACCTCTGGCTGGCAAGTGCACACATTTGCGGAAGACGGAGCGGCATGAAAATAGTGTTACACTCATACAGGAAGTGAATCGATGCTACTCTCGCGATACAACAGCAACGTTAATCTCGCACGCTTCAAAATAAAGGTCTCGAGTTCTTGTAAATCAGGTTAAAATATATACAATTTAATTGATTTATATATTTGAGCACCGAATGAATGAATAAAACGTACATACTACTACTACTACTACTACTACTAATAATAATAATAATAAGTTACACTTCATTGAACAAGAAAGTTTATTTTTTCTGGAAAAGGTGTTTTTGTATAAACTTACTGAAGAGAAAAGAAAGGTCATTAAGGAGTCGAAATTGATATAATATGGGTTACAAGTGTTAAGCGTCTTTGGGTACTTAGAAAAGCGCTATATACATTTACAGTATTATTATTATTACAAGTCTGATCAGAGAAATTTGGAAATTTCTAGTTTTGGGAAACGGCTCCTGTGCAACACATTACCCTCATTTCCTGCAAACCACTTAAATGAAGTTTATAGATTGGAAAATAAAATGTGAAGGTTTAATGCTTATAAAGCTCCCTCTGGCTCGAGAAAGTTATGCAATACATAATTCATACGTAGACATACATGCTGTATTCACATAAGCGCTGCAGACGGATATTAAAAAATGTAAGCAAAACACATAGAACACAGACGATTAAAGTGAGTAACAAGTAGGCCACTGTACAGTTAGAAAAAAAAACATATTTAACCAAAAGTTGTACAAGTTTGTCATACACTGCATGTGACTGATTATTAATGTGTATACAAGTTGTTTGTACAATTCAATATGACAAAACTGTATTTGGCGGCTGCTGAAAATGTTGATATTAATGCTCAAGATATTTTTACTTAATGGTTTGTCACTTTGTACAGTTTAGAGATGAAATACTGCATTATCATTTGACAGAGCTAAACATGACTCGGATGCATTTATATTCAAAATGACTGAAGAGCTATTGCATGAGAAGAATGTAAACTATCTGCCTGGAAGTCACAGTGTAGGTGGAGAGTGACTCAATTGTTACGTGTTTTGTTTGTAGTGGTTTCAGTGAGCACCAAGTTGTACTGTATGAATGAGTTTGCTACAAGTTGCTTTCTCTCACAGCACTTCAATGTAACAGGATGTACACATCATCAGAACTTGGTAAAAAAACAATGTATATCTCTGTCTCCTTTCCATCCCGTCCTGATCAGCGCTGCATGATTATACGCACCTCTGATTGGCTGTACTGTGCTGTGGTTTGTGGCAAAAAACAAATCATGTTAGCAAATCCCTTTGTTACACTTGTTTCACACATCAATTGTCTGTAATGCAGTTTTTCATGTGTCTGTGTATTTCAACATAACTCAAATGTTTCAATACTTGCTTAAGAGTTTGAGAGATCGGTAACAAGTTAAAGCGTGTGTCTAGGAGTGATACCTGGGTCAACATTACCATCAATTTACAACAGAACTAACTAACAAAACTATTATTTCATAAATGGCAGCAGCATTGTGCCTTGACACAAAGACTTTAAGTTTAAGTATGATATCAAGGTAAAGCACCATACATGTTTGTTAAGCTCCCCGTCTCTGTAGGTCTTCAGAGGTGTTGGTACAGTGTCCATGATTAAGATTGAAGAGTGGACAGGCCACGTTTCAATAGACAGTAGCTGCCATCTTCGTGGAGTTGAACTATTTACAATCTAAAGCCATTTAGATACCCAGTAAACAATGATGAAAATGAAATAAGTGTTTCAGCTGCAAATAGTCCTAATATGTACAGTCAACATGTCCAATGTGTCAACAGAATCAGCATCCAAAGGCATTCATGATGTATTGCTGATGGCTGAAAATGTTTCAGAGAATCAGCAGTGATGCAGTTTCAGTGAGAGGCGATCAAGGGTTTGGCTCCTCTGCAGCAAATCACAACCGGTTCTGTTTAAGCCTGTCGATGTGGTAACAGAGTTTAAGTGCAGGTCCCAGCTTCAGTCCCAGATACTTCATCATCATCTCACTTTTCAGCAAGAGCAGAGCGTCTCCGTCTATCTCCTGAAACAAATCACAGAGCCGTGTGACTAGCACTCAGGCTGTTTGAGATCAAGATCAAGCTCTGTTGCAATAGATTTAGCTTTAGCCAACGGCTACAATAGATAGCAGTCTGGACTCACATGCTTCCTGAATGCATCAGCGTGGGGTCCCAGGGCTTGGGGGTCAGCGTCTTTGATGAACCAAACAACCTCCTCAACATTCCAGCTGGACGGGTCCTTACCAGCAGGACGCTTGCACTCTCCAGAGTCTGGCATTGGACTGTAAGCTAGGGATCCAATTAAGCAAACAAACAAATGAAGAAAACACTGACATTCCAACATGACAAAACATTAAGTCTGCAGCATTGAATTTCAACTTAAAGAAGTGTTAGACATTTTGGAAAAATACATTTGTTCGCTTTCTTGCTGAGAGTTAGATGAGAAGATCAATTCTCTCATAGTTAAGTTACTCTCACCATTTAAGAATGAAGCTACAGCCTGGAGACAGTTAGCTTAGCTTAGCATGAGGAGACAGCTAGCCTGTCTTTGTCTAAAGGGAACAAAATGCACCTACCAGTATCTCTAAAACTAATTAGCACATTGTATCTTCCATGTTTAATTTGTATGAAAACTCAAGTGTAAAAAGGACAATTTTTGTGGAATGTCCAAAAAAAGGTCAGAGTATGTTATGGACTTTGTTTTGTCTATAGCATAGCCCAGTCCCCTGTATTCCATGACATAGTACGCCATAAAAAATGTCATATTATAGTATGCCATGATTTATTTTAATAACAAAGTATGTCCCAAAAAATGTCAAAGTATATAGTCTATAGAATGTCATAAAACAGTCATGAAAATAGTCATAGTATAGTGTGTCATGAACACATTTATAAACACATCATGGTGTAGTATGTTTAGATAAATGTCATAGTGTAGTATGCTCTTCACAAGTCACTGAATAGTATAACATAAAGAGGTCATAGTATAGTATGCCGTAAATGTCGTAAAAAGTCATACAATGCAATAGTATAGAATGCACTAAAACAGTAAAAAAAAAATCATAGGATAATATACGACACAAAATGGCATATCATGTCATAATGATATGTAATGTTATATAAGTAATGGTATGCTTCAAAATTTAATTTTGTTCATGGTCAATACAGAAGTCAAGAGTGCAGGTAATTATTAGGGGTTTCCCGGATTAAAGGTTCCGCACACCCACACAGGTGTTTTTAATTAACCTGACTGATTGGCTCCAGCTTTAGTCGGAAGAGGCTAAGATGGATTTGCAAGTTATCCCACTTTAACAGGTGCAACTAGAGAGCGAGAGAGAGAGAGATGTCAATCAAGCACTTTAGCACACTATATTGAAAGGAGCACCAATCAGGCAAATAAGTGAAACTTGTGCAGTCTGACAATGAGGGTACAGGACCTTTAAAGCTGTTTAAAAGATGTAAAAAAGCGAAATACACTTCTAAGCAAAATGCCACAGCAAAGCCTCACCAGTCCTGTTTGCATCCTGGAAGCCTCCTGGGCTCGATGCTTGTCTGCACAAGCCCATTGGGGTAGAGCAACTGCTGCCACGGTAGCCATAGGAGCGCTTTGGTGGGTACTGGGATGTCATGACATTGAAGGCAGAGTCGCTGGGGTCAACCGCGTAGCGCTTGGAGTCCACTGGTGGGTCGCATAAGAAGTCATCGGGCATTGACGTCTCCGCTGGAAGAGGAACGACAGGAAGTGGCATCACTCAAGCCAAGCCCATTTGGGAAATGTTGTCTTTTTAGCGAGGCAAGGTCGGTCTGTTTATATCGACGTCAAGGATTTGAATATTTCTATCGGACCAATATAGCATCTGCAGCCCTATGTACATTAAACAGCAGTCACATCTTTCATGTCCTTTAATTACTGAGTAAAATAAACATGGTGTCAAAGCCCCATTCAGCCTGTAACCGTACGGATGTGAAACTGCTGAAAGGTCAGTAATTCCTCTGATTGTGGTCCCTTTTGAGCCCCTTTTGAACGTTTCTCAGCTCGTCAATAATGTAGACGCCTGCTAGTTATGCCAGGGCTGGGCGGTTATGGATTCCCGCCTGATGACAGATTTAGAAGATGGAAATAGTCCACGGAGATGATTGTGAATGGCCTCTATTTTGTGCTCACACAAAAGGTCAAACGTATTTTATTGTATTCTGAAAAATCAATTATGTGATAAGATCTGCGCATGTGAGTTTGGAGGCAAATACTTTGGCACACACACACACATTGCAGAACTGCCCTCATACCCTACAGTACAAGCTTAATATGTTAACACTTGAGATACAGAAGTATTCAATTGTTTTATATAAACACTATCTCTATCCTTGTATATTAGTGTTTTTTATATCTTTACAACCTCAAATATTTTTAAATAAACCATGTAAAAATCATAAAAGACGACAAAATAATGTTTTTTTTATACATTAACTAAAAAAATATATATAATGTGACAAAATGATCAGTATTTGAAAGGAAGTTTACACTGCTTAGAAGGTATGCTAAAACATATCCCTACAATACAGGGAGTATTTTTGAAATGCTTCTCCATTTCACAAGAGAAATGATTTACATATCTGTTTGGATGGCACCACGGGGAGCACACTGGTGTGTAATGTGTGTGTGTGTGTGTGTATGTGTGTGCACTTCACTTCTGAATGTCTACAGTCTGACATCAAGCGCTTTTCACGATTTGCAAGAACAAAGAGCAAACCGCTGGTCCTTGACACATGAGATTCCCATTCCCACCTCAAATACACTAAAGGCAATCTTTAAATATTTGCTTATTCAGAGCAGGACAGACGGAGGGGAGAGAAAGAGAGAGAAAAATAATGAAAGAGAGACAGAAAGATTGGCTGTGTGAAACATATTTTCTTTTGTGGAAGAATAAAAAAAAAAAAGGCTGATTTTCTCCAGAGCCAAAGAAAGGAAAGGAAAGCTAGACGAGAAGATTGAAAAGGAATGAGAAATAACATGTTTGGGTTAAGCGTGAAGGTGCGTATTTCTCATTTTAGGGCATGTAAACACACTCACCCATAGACACTTGGGCTGTTTCTGATTCAACATGCAGACATGCACAACAAAGTAATGTTTTACATCTAAAAGCATATCTCGACACAGAGAACAAGTCATCTGTGTATTTTAGAGAGCAAACAACAAAGGCACCACGCTGACAAGTGTGTATTTTAGAACTGAATTTAAGTCACAGTCGGAGCGGGGTAGCCAACCGATGGAAAAGATGAGAAAGAGGAAGGGAGGGCGCATTTCAAACCACAACGTCACACACAAAGTGTAAAAATGTTAGGATCCGCTTCCTCATACTGAATGGCTCCAGGTCTCAAGGCTTTCAAAATAACTCATTGGACCTTGTAAATAGAAAGAACAAAAACCTTGCTTCTCTAATTCTCACTCTGTACAGACCCGTTATCATTCAACAGCACGTTACTGGATAGACAAGCTTGTAAAGGTTAAGATAGGAGTCTGTGTGTGGTGCTACCTGTTAGGACTTGTGGTGTGGCAGAGTGGGGGACAATAGCAGCATCCTGTGGGATGGAGCCCATCTCGGGTCCTGGTGTGCTGCTGGGAGGAGAGTTAGCTAGTGGGGACATCACCATCCTGGGCTTCAGCTGCACACACACACACACACACACAGGCACACAAACACACACATGTAAACAAATCAATGAGGTCTCTATAGTGTATTCTCATTACACATGACTCATGTCGTGCCCTTTCCCTCCCCATGATTAATGTCTATTTCAACGCTGTAGGATAAGTGAAGGCAAAATGTCAAAAAAATAATCTAGAGAAATACTGCTAAAACTACCATTAACAATACCAGTACCATTATCAATACCAATATTAATGACAAAAGTACATACTAAACTTTATACAGGTGACAGTGTCAATGGCAGCAATTATTAGAAGTACTTAGTTGAGTTTCTGACCACTAGCGGCACTATGGAGCAGTGTTTTGATGAGTGGGTTCCTCATTTGTTTATTTCCTGTTCTACTAGCATGTATGTGACGTTTGTGGTATCATGACAACAAACCTAGCAAAGCACCAGCTAAAGGCACGGAAGGAGAGGCCTGCTTGCTATTTTAAAAGAAAACGTAACAAGTTATCTTTAAAATGTAGCACTGTGTGTGTGTTACGACAGTTAAAAGGATGAGTGACTGACCTTAAAGCCAGGTTTCCTGCCTCTCTTCTTCGGGACCTTGAGAGGCGACAGAGGCTCAACGTAGTGACTCTGGAACTCCAGCTTACGGATAGGAGGCCGTCCTCTCTTCCTGCCAGGTACCTTACCCTGGGGCCCCGCTGTGAACTGGGGGCCGAGAGCGGGAGTCTGCATCTCTGAGCCGACAGACAAGGTACTCATCAGACCTGAGGGAGACAGAGGGATTAGTCAAGGTAATTTCAAAGCAACAGGAAGTGGCAGCTTAAAACTGCACGCACCGCTGCCTCAGCTCCGAACTGAAGAGGAAACTTGTCATGTACATGTGAGACTAGCCCCTGCACACACACACACACACACATAAACTATAGGAAATAGTAGAAACAAAGCCACATACAGCTTTGTACTCATCACACCCCTCCCCCTCTCCAACTGCAAAGAGTGCAATAAATATCATTACTGCACAGAGAGACAAAAACACACACATACACACACACACACAGAGGAAGTGAAAGCAAAGCACATAAACCTACAACACCCACATGATCAAACAATCAATCAAAGTGCACATTCCTCACACACACACACACACACACAGACACACACACACACACACACACACAGCAGTGTTTCAAGTGTTTGTCTCTGTTCCACATGGCCATGACTTTCACAATACATCCCTTTCTCCATCATTTCATTCATGCAACACAATCGCTTACCTGAAATGGCCTTTGAATCTGAAGCTAAGGTGCTCTGTGCTGATTGCACTTTTTACGGAGGCTGATACTAATTAGTAGTAATTAGCTGCCATGCTGTCGTACACCAATTCATATTTCATATCCGAGAGCTTGAATGATGTGACACAGAACTGGCTTGAATTCAGTGCAGCGAGACTGGCAACCGTTAGAGAACAAAATCCTCTTTTTGGGGGGGGATGACAAAGAATGTGTCATTGCGAGAGGAGGAAAAACAGGAACAGAGACTGCATGTGAATATGCATGATGCCTCTCAGACCAAATCAGGAAAAAAGAAAATCTTCAAAATTAGCACAAAATGATTATTCTGAGGGTTTGCCTACCATGCACTCAGCCGTCTGGTATTCACTGTCTGCGTGATGCTCCGCTCCAGCAGCAGGTCTCTGAATAATCCCCTGATGGCTCTCCGACAGCCTGCCTCTACTGTTCTCTGCCGCTACACACTGTCAAGACGCCGGCAACCCTCTCTCGCTCTCTCTCTCTCTCTCGCTCTGTTCTCAATCCCCAACCATCTTCCTCCGAAACAACCACCTCCTCCCCTTCCCTTCTACCCTAGCCCCCTTCCTCTGTGTCCCCTTTCAGTCGTCATAGCAACACGCCTCTAACATCCCGCGGCAGCCGGCAGACGTGCTGAGCTCAAAACGATGTCTGTGTGTCTCTGTGTGTGTGTGTGTGTGTGTGGGGGGGGGGGGGGGGGGGGGGGG